CCCCAAAACCCCAAAACCCCAAAACCCCGAGGTACATTTTCGATATTGAGAATAATAATTTGTGTGATTTTCTTCAGATTATAGGCTTCTTTTCTTACTCATTGTTTTGGGATGCTCGAGGTTTTTTACAGTTTTATTGAGCAGATGGATGTGATATTATTGAAGCATTCTTTTGACTCATATCTGATCAGGATTTCATCATTCAAGCAGATTGGCTATGAGAATACTTCTGCTCCTCTTGTATCTCAGATGCTCTTAGATTATTATTTGATATCTTCTTTGGAGTAATATTGATAGGTTTTCTACTTTTAAACTTTAGGTAAATAGTTTTTAACAAGTAAATAAATCAGATTATTGATCAAATTCATGGAGCAGCCATGAACACTCCGATGTAATAATTCTCATAAAATGATGACCAATCGGATTTAGCATTCACCCACGTCAGAGGAACTGCAAGACAACAAAATAAGATTTGGTTAATAATCTCGATAATGTTATCTTGAGGACCCTCAAAAGGCTTGACAGCAATCAGATATCCTCAATATACAAGGTTGAGCGTAGAAAAGTAAACTGATTTCGTGAATCAATCGACTGACATTGCAAAGATCAGGAATGAACATAACATCAGTCTTAGTAGCATGAATACAATAGAATATAATTTGGAGAATGCTGTTGGTTTGATTCCTTCCAAATACTCTGATCATAGCCAGTATTTCTTAAGATCAAGCTGAGGAAATGACTTCGCATACACGTAAAAAGAGACAATGAATAGCACACTCGTGCATAATGCAAACATAATTCAAAACCCGAATGATACCTTTGTGACTGTAGAGCTTAAGTTGAGAGCATACATTTCAGAAAATATTGACAGAGTCGTAAAAGCAAATGCTTGAATAAATATTCTTATGTATACATTGAAAGTAAATAGCTGGAACAGCTTGTCTATTCCCTTCTTACATTTACTTTTCTGTGGACTCTCCATTCATATTTTTCAAAGCAATATTAATAAATGAACTCCACTTAAGAATATAATGAAAGCCATAAGTGACAGATAGTTGATAACTGAGCTTCCTGACCTCATTCCGATGCTATTCAAGTATTTATCTGACTGGGGATATGAAACCCATTTTTTAAATAGCTTTAATAAAAGGAATGTCTTTGAGCTTTACGAAGTCGAATGACAGCATTGTGAACCCCATGCCACTCAGAAATGCTAATATTTTTGGAGAAAAGTAGTCTGGAACAAGAGGAAGCAATAATGCCAGTTGAAGACTATTAATTGCACTGAAAATAGAGTTCATTGAAGATAATGAGAGGATTGATGAAACACTTATCATAACCATACTCGCTGCTGCTAAAGCTATAGCAGCTTCAGTTGTACCAGTCGCAGAAGTAACTCTCATACAAGATTTCTGGCCATTAGAAGTCTGATAGCCATCTATTCAGACCTCTCAAAGAGTCGGATTTCCGAGTTGTCAAACCTCTCAGTTATTGATATTTCACTCCTCAACTATAATGTCGAAATTTTTGTAATGGATTTCACTACTGAATGAAATTCGGAGCCTAAAACTAAAAGTCTTAGCTTCAGAAAGTTTTGGAGTTTTGTTAAGGTACAGCTCCTGGTTGTCTGTGTCTAACTGCACCCATGCAGGGATCTCATTCGACCCTGTCTGAGCCAAACTGAAAGTAATCTCAGTGTAGTTGAAAGATGAAGCTCAGGCCCAAGTGAAATCAATCTGGACAGACTTGTTACCCTGAACTGACTGGATGTGATCTTTGTTCCATAGGGCTACATAAGTAGTGAAAGAAGGGGAAGTTGCTGAAGTTATGTCGCTGAGGGTGATAGATGGTGAAGTAGAAATATCAAGTGTCTTTGAACTTGAGGATATGCTTGGGTTAGATGCAGTTGACGAGACAAGGTATTCGGTAGTAACTGGAGTAAAAAGAGGAGTCTCTTCACTGAATTCCTGAAGCTGGTCAATATTGTTAATAGAAGATCTTGCAAAGAAAAATGTTTTATTTGTATCAATTCTCCCTCAATGATACATAAGTTCTTCTCCTTGATATAATGACCTTCCGATAGCATAAGATAGGGAATCAATAGACCGATATTCTTTCAGAACTTGAGTATTTTGAGTGTTTATCAGAATTAATCTTTTGTATTTGGGTAACGCTGAACTGTAAATTTGCATAGCAATGAAAGAATTGAACTCTTTCATAGAGTATCAATGGGTAAATCCACTATCGTTCCAAAGAAATCCAGAGTTTTGAGGAGTTCCATCAGCTACATCTAGTTTATCGAAAATAAAGTGGCTATTATACAAAATCATTGTATATATCCACTTCTCATCTTGGCTTAAAATAGCTTTACCTGGCTTATCAACTCAACTTAAAATAGGGCAAGAAATACTCTTCTTCCAAACAAGATTTGTAGGATCTGAGAAATTGTAATTTATTAAATAATACTGATCATCTACAGTATCAATTGATCCAAAGAATAGAAGATCACTACTAATTGGAGCAAAGTTTGTATGGCTATTAACTCCAAAAGTGAATCAGTTCACATTAGTGGAGGATGTATCCCACTTTCAAACTTGTAAAACTGAACTAGATTTGAAACTGAAGTAAAATCCCTTTGTTACTACCATATTTCAGTTTCCATTGTGGATCATAAATCTAATACTCAGCTCTCTTGAGATAACTAAATCAGTAGTCCTTATTTCAAATATGCTGTGAGTTGTCTTGTCTTGCATATAAATAAAGTCTCCGTTCGGATCTATTGCATAAGAATAATAGTGAGAGTTAATATCATAAGTCATGACTTTGATTGGCTGCAAATTGTGATCGGTTTTATAAACAATGGTATCCCAGGGAATTGTACTAACCATAAAGTAGCCAATAAAATACATTAAATCTTCCTTTTGATCATTAAAAACGTCAAGAAAATAGACTTCGGTACTACATCAGGACATTCCAAAGCTTCCAGAAAGAGCTGAACTTGCTGATTGAGAATCATTTTCGCAGACATCGGCAGAGACAGATAAGATAGATAAGAACAGGATATAAATGATCTTCATTTTTAATTATAATTATTATATGTTTCTTCATGGTATATGATGTAAGGGGTTTTGGGGTTTTGGGGTTTTGGGG